ACAGAAATATGCTTAGCTAAATTGATGTTTTTAATTTAATGTTCAGTAGGTTTAACCTCTGTAAGGTCTAGAAAGAGGCAGTAAAATCTCTCGCAGGATTCAGTTTAGGTTAAATATGTACGCGCATGTTAACTTGCAGTTGACAGAGCAAAGTTGGAGGAAAGTGGAATAGAAAAGCTGGCAGACAACTCTAATAATGTGTCCATTATTCCAATACTTAGCAGCCTTTTAGGTATTCACTCCCTAATCTTTAGGCCCCAGGGATCTCAATGAACATTTTAATAATTACACTCCATCCTGAGACTACATTAACGAGGTTCTAGATTCAAGAAGCAAGATCGAATCACTATAACAAAGCTACTAGAGCATACTTACTAACAAATTACCTAACTAACTGGTTTATTGAACCAGAGTCCAAACTAATTCAAGGGGCTTCTGAGCCTACCACTACTGTAGAATTTGATGGGCAACTGTCCCAGGAATACCAGGTGGCTACAGGAATAAAGAAAACCAAGACGCCTATTTATCTCCATATGTTTAAAAAACATAGAAATTAGTCAACAGTGTTTTTTAAATCCTGTATCAGTATATTTATTACCAGGGACCATATATTAGTAAGCAAGAGCATTATCAGGGCCACTTTTACTGTTTGGTGGATCCTGGATTAAACAAAATTGTAGATGTCATTCTTCAATTTAGTGTTAACTGGTTTAAATGTTTTGTATGGTATATATGTACTTACTATTTTGGTGGGCATTTGTCTTGATTAAGGACCCAGTGAGGTACAAAACATTGACTAACCTGGTAGTGTTTGTAATGAAATTAACACATTGCTCACATTGTTTATAAGAGCTTCCAAAGCACACACAGTAGAGAGAATGGCACACTCAGCAAGAAAGAGAGTCAAAACATTTTTAGATACATAAATGAGAAAAGGAAAGTAAAACAAGGATTAGTTAGAATAAAAACAAAAGAAGAAAAATATGTAGAAGAGGATAAAGGTCAAGCTCACTGCCTCAATGAATATTATTGTTCAGTATTTACAGATGAAAATGAAGGAAAGGGGCCTCAGTTAGGAAAAAGGACAAATGAGTAATTTGTTACATGTGAGCTTACAGAGGAAGAGGTTCTATTTCAACTGTCAAAAGTAAAGACAAATAAGTCAATGGGACTTGATGGAATACACCCAAAGTTATTAAAAGAGCTTAGTGGTGTACTAGCAAAACCATTAACAGATATATTTAACCAATTTATTTAACCAATCATTATTAACAGGAGTAGTCCCAGAAGATTGGACGGGCAACTATAGGCCAGTGAGCCTTACTTCAGTAGTGGGTAAACAAATGGAAACCATGTTAAAGGATATGATTGTTGAACATTTAAAATCACATGGATTTCAACTTCAGGGAGACCATGCCAAACTAATCGTATTGATTTTTTTGATTGGATAACTAAAATAATAGATCACGGTGGTGCAGTAGACATTGCTTACCTAGATTTCAGTAAATCTTTTGACACTGTTCCACATAGAAGGCTCATCAATAAACTGCAATCTTTAAGTTTGGATTCCAATATTGTTGAATGTGTAAGGCAGTGGCTGAGTGACAGGCAACAGAGGGTTGTAGTCAATGGAATATATTCGAGGCTTGGACTTGTCACCAGTGGGGTACCTCCGGAATCTGTACTTGGACCCATTCTCTTTAATATTTTTATTAGTGATATTGCAGAAGGTCTTGATGGTTAGGTATGTCTTTTTGCTGATGATACTAAGATATGTAACAGGGTTGATGTTCCAGGAGGGATAAGCCAGATGGCAAATGATTTAGGTAAACTAGATATATTGTCAGAGCTGTGGCAACTGACATTTAATGTGGATAACTGCAAGATAATGTATCTTGGATGTAAAAACCCAAAGGCATAGCATAGAATATTTAATACAGTACTTTCCTCAGCATCTGAGGAAAGGGATTTAGGAGTAATTATTTCAGATAGGTAGGTAGACAATGTAATAGAGCAGCAGGAAATGCTAGCAGAATGCTTGGTTGTATAGGGAGAGGTATTAGCAGTAAAAAGAGGGAAGTGCTCATGCCATTGTACAGAACACTGGTGAGACCTCACTTGGAGTATTTTACGCAGTACTGGAGACCATATCTTCAGAGGGATATTGATAATCTGGAGAGTGTTCAGAGAAGGGCTACTAAACTGGTTCATGGATTCCAGGATAAAACTTGCCAGGAAAGGTTAAATGATTCTTATGATGTATAGTTTGGAGGAAAGACGACACAGGGTGGATATGAAAGAGACACTTAAATACATAAAGGGAATCAACATAGTAAAGGAGGAGACTATATTTAAAAGAATAACTACCACAACAAGAGGACACAGTCTTAAATTAGAGGTTCAAAGGTTTAAAAATAATATTAGGAAGTGTCACTTTACTGAGAGGGTAGTGGAAGCATGGAATAGCCTTCCAGCTGAAGTGGTAGAGTTTAACACAGTGAGGGAGTTTAAGCATGCATGGGATAGGCATAAGGCTAGCTATAAAATAAAGCCAGGGACTAATGAAAGTATTTCGAAAATTTGGCCAGACTATATGGGCCGAATGGTTCTTATCTGCCGTCACATTCTATGTTTCACTTTTTTGCAACAAGTCTCATGACTGTCAGTATATATTTTTTTGTTTTTCTGTCTGTCTGTCTGTCTCTCCAAACGTTTTACTCACCAACTAACCACTGGTAAGGGAAAATTCAGTCCATGTGAATAGAAATGCACCCCTGGTTAGTGAGATATAGACTTATGCTTGCTGTGGCGAGTTACATTTAGGACTGGCTACTAGCTAAGGGCTTGACATATTGAGCCCTGTATACAGTATATGTGAATATTATAATACAGACATATAAGTAACTTGCATATACGTGCATCTCCTAGCTTGCCCGTTTTATGTGTGAGCAGTCATCTTAAAGTTCTCTTTTGGTCAGAAGCACAACAATGGAACAATGGAATTCACCTGATAATATATATTGATTGATTCTCCTTAATAGAAGTATATATTGTAGTTCATTGAATTCTTTAGATTCCATGGTGGCAACTAGTTGTGCATCCCATTTAAAACAAATCGTGATTTGGGCGATTTGGGAAATTTGGGCGACGGGAGAGTCGACCAAATGCCAACAAAACTATTTGAATTGCCATATATATATTTTATATTTATATTTTATATACCTAGTTAAGATAAAATATATAGATATTCTTTTATTACTACTTCTCTTCTTTTATCTTCTATTGGGTACTTCTTTTTACTAGATCTATGAACCAAATCGCACAAAAATTCTCCTCTCAGTGTACTTCAAAATATATACATAATATTTATTTTATGTACATATTTTATAGTTCACTAATAGGTGCATTTTCGACGGCAATTTTGTTTGTTTGGTTGCAAAGACAGAATTTGTCTCAACCAAAATGCATAATTTTGACATAATCCGATCCACCCAAAACCAAAAACTTTTTCAGAAAAATCTATTTTTTTTCAACATGCACAAGTGTAATGGTAACTAATGGATTTTTTATTTGAAAATCATTAAAAAGTTACTGCAAAAAAACCCCCAGTGTTTTAATAAAATACAGTTTTGCTCAGCGTAATCCTTATAGTCTTGCCTCCTCCCTAAAAAATAACATAAAAAAGAAAGAAAATAGCAAAATGCATAAAATTTACATCAGCACGGAGTTGGAACACACTGGAATATGGTCTCGATTAAAGTATATTGGAACATTGTATCAACCAAGCTATGTTGAAATATAGCACCAAAACATGTGTGTCACGGTGCCGCGGGTTTCTGTCGGCATGACCGCACTGAAAAACAGCGATCACGCCAACAGAAATAACAAACACTCACCTTACCCGTGGCAGATCAAGACCCGACCTCCTTCCTTCTCGGTTCCCGGCGCGTGCGGCGTTAACAGAGACGCTGGCCACTGCAGTTCCAATTTAAATAAAGAAATACCCAATATCAAAGATGGCGCTTATGTGCGTTCGACGTCACGTCACAGACGTACACACATTTGGGGTCACAGGTCACACATAGCCAATTACAGCTCTAGGAAGGTTATTTAAACCCAAATTACCTCTTGATCATTACCCTGTCGTGGTTCCCTTAGCAGGCATCTGAAAGAGTGTTCCTGATTGTTGTATTTCTGATATTTTGACTTTGGCTTTGTTTGACTTCCCTGATTTCTTGTATCCTTGACATTTGGCTTTCCCTCATCGTTGTGTCATGTTAGTTTCCCTGACGTCGGCAAGTATTCTGACTACTATTGGATACGTTAAGTCCGGCCATTCTAAGGTCCGGTTATACGTTATCCTTAGTCCTAAATTTTTATATTATTCTGTGTGCTGGATCACTTAGTAATCCTGACAATGTGGCCTGGTGCTTGACTGAGATTTAGACCCCACTAAGCTATGAAAGTGAAACCCATTATCAGGTATCTCATTTAATATAATGTAAATGATACCTGACAATGCTTTCAATTCCTTTATTGCACAGGGAGATGGCACATCGTCCAACACTAGGTGTGTTACATGATATAACTGACCCACCATTCCCAGAGCAGCACTGGGTTATATTTGCCCTGGACTGAATTAATGGCAGTAATCCAAATAGGAATGTAACTTTCACTAATCATTAACAGGCTCTTCTCTGTGCTGACTTGTAATTAGTGTTTTCACATTGCACAGTATAATTGTCGATATTTAATGTGCGGCATTATCCACCTTGCAGGATGGGATTTGAAAACATGTTGTTTTAAGGGCAGGTGATGTTTTTAAATACAGACATAACTACAAATTTCAGTATTTACTTTTTTACTATGTGCTGGATAAAGATGCCACGTTTTATAAAATAAAGACACAAAACATTTATTTAGAAAGAGCTTTTATAGAATGACATTTCAGGCATATTAAAATTCAAGGTAACATGTTCCAAATGTTTTGCCTTTTTCAGGTTCTGTAGACAGCTTGTATTTATATCTTTTGATATTTGCTTTAATGCTTTAACACCACTAGATGGTGCCTTTTACCTTCTATCATTGCATGTTTCCTCTGTACCACCAGACAATTTACAGTAGATCTGGGTCTGCCACATGTTTTGTAAGATTTATCACAGTTACTTAAAGGGGAATTAACAAATATATTTAAACATGGCTGATGAATTATTCACTAAACAGAGAGTTCTGGTGAATAAACAGTACTACACAGTATAAAGACTGGAGCTGGACAGAAAAGCCAGGGTAGGAGAATTTTGCCAAATCTAGCGTTTTGTTTACATTTTTCATGTGATATTCTTAAACTGTTAAAAAAAACATTTAAAATATTAACTTTAAGGGGTTAATGGATACAACAAGCCTTGAATTTTCTCTATATAAAAAAAATTGCCCTTCTCTTCCACCAATCCTTAACGATAAGCCCAGTGCTCTCTCTCTCTAAAATGACATTGGAACTGAGTGCCCATCGTTGATGTTTTCAAGTCATTTAATTTTCCAGGGTGGTCATCGGTAGAGATGTCGCGAACTGCTCGCCGAACAGTTCGCGAACTGTCCGCTGGCGAACAATAGTGTGTTCGCGTTGGGCGAACATATGCGATTTCTGGTCCGCCCCCTATTCGTCATCACTGAGTACACTTTGACCCGGAACCTCACAGTCAGCAGACACATTCCAGCCAATCAGCAGCAGATCCTCCCTCCCAGGAAGTTTCTGCTGACTGTGAGGTTCCGGGTCAAAGTGTACTCAATGATGACGAATAGGGGGCAGACCGGAAATCGCATATGTTCGCCCAACGCGAACACGCTATTGTTCGCCGGCGGACAGTTCGCGAACAGTTCGGCGAGCAGTTCGCGACATCTCTAGTCATCGGTGATTCCATATTTGGAAGATACACCATTGTCTCCTGTTATTCAGGGTTTTTCACTAACCAATCGATTGTGAGGAATTCACCAGGGCATTTCAAATTTAACACAAAAAATGTTGTGCTGAAAACATTATACATATATACTGAATGTTTCACAATTGTCTTTTTTGCCTGCAATTAACATTTTCCTGGTAAATTTTACAAGAGAATAAAGTTTCAAGTTAAAAGACAAAGGTGCAATAAATCTAAGAGACAATACAGAATTTGATAAATTCACGTAGAATCTTACAATCTAGATGGATATGAGGGTGAGAAACAGGAGGTGGGGACTGCAAATATGGACACAATGTTAAAGGAATGCTCCAATCATCTAAATAGATTTCCATAGAAATATGCACTGTTACAAATTCGTCTTGTTACACCCCCTGGCTGTCAGTCAGACAATGGGTCTTGTTGTTTCCTGGTTGTTTAGCTCAGTGGAACTAAACTGAAGAACAGACAATTCCCCAGGGACATCTTAATGAGTTGCTTTGGGAAATCTGTGATTGGACAGCCACAGAAAGTCTGGGTGGGGGAAGACGAGTAGGGCTTGCAAAGGCTGCAGACAAGAGATCTGCAGCTTTTACAAGCTTATTTTAGCTATACTCCTAATGAATGCATAATGCAAAAATGCTTAATTAAAGACATGCATGTTTTAATTTGGGGATGTATCTACTAAATAGTATTTGTTTTTTTTTATTTGGGCAGTAGAGGGTTCCTTTAATACAGAGTCAGATGACAGTATTTATTGAGTAAGTGGAGTGCATTAGTTACTGAGTTGAGTGGTACGATTCACTGAAGAAAATGTCTTTAGAGATTTAAAGGAAGGAAAAAGTCTGACAACATGACGAAGTACATCCCAGAAGGGATGTACTTCGAAGTCCTGCAGTGAAGCATGGGAAGAGTTGAAAATAAAAGATGCAAGGAGCAGATCATTATTAGATCTTAAAGGGTGGCAGGAGTATATTTGATGATTAGTGAGGAGCGGTGTTGGGTAGAGCTTTGTAAGTCAGGGTGAGAATTTTGAATTTACTTCTGCTGTCAATGGGAAGTCAATGAAGGGATTTGCAGAAAGGTGCTGCAGGTACAGAGTGACAGGCAAGGTGAATTCCCCTGGCAGAGCCATTCAGGATGAGCTAAACAGGGGAGGCGGTAGGGAGAAAGGCCAGTTAGTAGTTTATTGCAGTAGTCGACAGGAAATAACAAGTTGGTGGATGAATTGCTTCATGGTGCCAGCGCTCAGAGCCCCATTCCTTGTCTCATTATTAATTTCCATCATTCCAGTATTTACTTTGTTTTGATACCTGTTCAAGTTTTAAATCCTAATGTTCTTAATCTCATAAAAAAATAGATGAAAACCTGGTAAGATGCATAAAAAGTAGATTTTTTTTCCCCCCAGTGATGGTATGCTTCTCAAACATTCTTCAACTAGACCATGCATGTAGTCTAAGAGGTTTATTCCTTAAAGTAGTAACTGTAGACATCTAAAAAACTAGGACAAATGTAAATATGTTATCTAAACTGGATATTTTTGCTGAAAATATATAATTTTTCTGTCAATTCTCTAATTTCAGTAAATAAACCCTTATGGGATATTGTGATCTGCCCATAAAATTTAGTTTCAAGAAAGCTTGGCCCTCTTCACAAAACTGGGCATCCTGAGGTGCCATTTACCCCTTTACTGGCAACTGGCATTTAACAGGAAATTTTGTAGACTAGCAAACGTGGCCACGTTTTCACAAGTACTCTAGGTAAAACCATTACTCCTCTAGCAGGTACATTTAAAAAAAAAAAAAAAAAACTGTCAAAATCTCGCTTTGGTTTTGCACACCATTTAACCTCCCACTAACAATGCATAACACCTTGAAAAATGCTGAATTTAGAAAATATGAATTGCCCTTTAAGAAGTATTTGTTTTTATTTTACTATACTGAGTTTATAAGTCATTGATGCTGATAAGTCATTGAAACTGAAGGCTTCACTGGCACATAATTGTCCATTTTTGAAACATATTTGCACAAATAAATACAAAAGGCAAATTTACAAATATTACAAGAAAATCTCATATACAAAAAACATAGTTTGCAGGAACTAATATCCATTAACATTTTAAAAGGCTTGTGAAGTGTATTTACAATCAAAGTATGGCAAATCTGAAGCTTCTATCACCCACGGCTTTTGTTTGTTAATTATTAACATTTTGTTTATTATAGAAGATTGACAGGTCAGGGCTTAATTTCTTACAAGATACGCTGGACGCCTTCCTAAAGTGTCCTTTTTGTAGGGAAACATGGGGAGTCAAAGGGTGAGACTTACTGTTACCTACACCCAATCATAGTGATACTCTGCTTATTCTTTTTCTTAAAAAAAGCTTACACCATCTTTTTTAAATAAGCCTCATGCACTTCCCACCTTCCCTGTGCATTTTCTTTATTTATATATTTTATAAATTTCCTAAAATACTGGAAAAGTATAGAGGCCATGGGCCTTTTAAATTACTTGCAATGGAAAAGTGGAGGGTATGGTTGGCGTGGATATATTATAACTTTGTGTAAGAATGCAAAATAGATTTTTTTCTGTAAGATACATTAAAGGGGCGTGCTAAGAACCAAAACCCTTACAGCTCTATGCAGTAGTTTTGGTGGAAAGAGGCTATTGACTTATACCCCAGATTCATCATTAAGCCATTTTGTAGAAGTTTGACAAAAACCAGGGTGCATCAGGGCACGTGGCCCATGCTTTCCTAAGCTACACTGATAAAGCACAATTTATACTTCTGCTTTACAAATGTCCATATAGCACTAGGTGAAAGGCAGTCATAGGCTCAGAGTACAGGTTTTTATTTTTGAACCCCAGCTGCTTTCTTCCATCCTAAAACCCCCACATGTATTAATTCCTACAAAGTATTAATATAATTCATCAATATCACAGTATTAACACTTTGTCCTTACAGGTGTATTGTCCATTAACTTTAGAAGTAATTTACAAATAAATGAATACTGTATTATATACAAATTATGAAACCGGAGCTTGTATAGTACACCACGCAAGCAATATTATAAGAGAATATTTAAAAACTATTTGTTTTTTTGTTTGTTTTCCATTCACTCTCGTTACATACACGCCGCAGTTTAGGAAATCCATAATTTATTTATTTTTATTTCAAGTTTGTAAAAAGAAAATGTAGGCATAGTCTTGTGGAACCGAAAAAAAAAAAAGATCTCCTGTGATCTCCAACAATTTTCTGAAGGCTGAAACGTTACTGTGTTATTTACCAAGTTCCATTGGTGTCAGCATGTTTTGCTGGAAGAAATCTTTAACCTTGTTACAAAACAAAAAGCAGCTAAGGCAGTTGATGTCTGTATTTTCATGTCTACATTATCATGAGTTACATGTCAATATCGCCATCATACGAGAAGGACAGAGGCTTCTGTTGAGGAAAAAAACTCATGTTCTCTTTTGGCTTCTTACTGAAAGACACAAAAACAATAAACATGTCAATATAGTTTTACAATAAGCAAGAAAATACAATGTTCAGATACATTCTACCTGCCTGTGTATTTCATTTTTTTTTTTTTAAACAAACCATTATTTCAATTCATCTTTGCATGAGTTCGTAGAAGAAGACTTATTTTTGTAACAATTACTCGCTCAAAGTCGCTCATTTTTGGAATCTGTACACGGTTTATAAATGAAGATACAATTGCAAGATGCCTGTCTCTTCACTTAGACACCTGCCACAGTGTTAAAAAGAAATTAAAGCTAAATGAGTTAGATGAAAATAAAAGAACTGTAAACATGAAATTGATTTGCACAAATATGCTTTCAAGTGTTAGAGACTCTTTAGGCTTTTGTTATGCTTATTTATTTCATTGGAGGGCCGATCTATTTTATTTTCATAATGTATCTGATACTGATAAATAAAATAATTTTTCCAAGAAGCAGTTTACATATTTAGTCATGTGTAGTTTTGTTTCAATAACATTCATGTGTGGTTGGAATCAATGAAATACCAAAATTAAATTTTTAGGTAAATTTGCACTTGTAAATGATGTTCCTGATGTGGCAGCCAATCAGAGAAGACTCAAATAACTTTTTGACACAGCCTCGTTTCCATGGTAAATCAGAAGTACAACCCCCCAATATCAACAATTATGACTAGCTCTACTCTACTAATTATTTCACTCATGTTGTATATTTTATTTACCCTTTTATACTGTGGGACAAAACATTCTATATTTCTATTGGAATTTTATGAATGCCATGTAATAATAAAAGAACATTAATTAACATGATAAATTCTTACAGCAACACTCATGATGTAAAGCATGTAATTCTGTTGGATATCTTTAAAACATCACAGGAATATTTACTTACCAGATTAAATAGGATAAAAGGATAAGAAGAACTATTATAAGAAAGCTGCCCGCGGACACTCCGTAAACCCAAAGCTTTACCCTTCCATCTGCAAATAAGAGAAACATCAACTCATAAAACATGTGGACATGCACGCAATATCTTTTTATGTGTATGAAATAGGAGAATGCATGAAGTTCTCGTAGTTGGATCTGCAATGTAATGATACATCATGTAACTGGGGTTTCTATATTTGGTCAACCAGAAGTTTTTGGGCGTGTTTTTCAGTAATTGTTTGCCATGTTCAAGGAATAGTTGCTAA